GATTGTTGTACTTGTGTGCTACCGACTGAAAATTAATGGCAAAGTTAAAAGCAAACAATCACTAATTCAATTTTGAATTTTCTTTCTTACAAATAGTGTACTATTGATTTAAAGAAAGTTTTGTCACTAAGGAAATTTGAATTCTTGCATCAATTTTTAAGCCAAAGTACATTTTTTAACAAACAAGCTTGCTAAAACAACATGAATATTTATTTTTTTATATAATATATATATTTGCATACAAATATCCATGATTAATTAATGTTGTCTGGAACTTCAGATTGAGATGAAGAATTTATTCACTCTGGAAAGTTCTGGTTCTGGAAATATATAGATAAATCCCTTGGTATTTCTAGACATTACAAATACAAAATAGAGATCTGTTTTGAGTAGAAGCAGTGGAAACAAAAGGAAAACCAGCCCTATTGTCACATCAATTCAATTTACAACAAAGCTATATGTCGAATCTCTCTAAAGGCCCTCTTTATTACCTGCTCTCCTCCTTGGATATTTTCTACTGGGTAGTCATCATTTAGAAAGCCCCTGCAGGGCTTCTGTGCTTCTCAAAAGAATGTGCAATAGAGTATGTCACCCAAAATAATTACCTAAAACCACCATTTTACCCTAGGCTATATGTCAGTATGTGCTCACAGGTACTCAGAGACTGCATCTAATTTAGACCTGAAGGCGGACATACGTGAATAATACTTAAAGCAATGAAACAGGATTGAAACTACAATGGAACTAATTTATTAGTTAAAAAGGGCATCAAATCAAGAACTACAGTGTCTTTCACAGTCTTGGTACTGTAAGCTTTTTCCTTTTTCTCAGCATCCAAGTATGCAACTCTATGGTGTCTTACAAAAGCAACAGCAGAGACCAAAACTATTAGTCAAGCAGTATTTAACTTGTGTTTTCAAGGTGCCTATGAAGGTGGCTTGGCTCTTATTCTGGTCCAAATCAAACACTTGTTGTGGGTTTAAAGTGTGAAAAAATGTGTTTGAAAGAGGAAACAGATAGGTCATACAATTTCAAAAGGTAAGGATATGAACTATAAACCAATCAAATCAGAGACATTGTGATGTGCAGGATGCTACAATAAGTATACCAGCACTTCAGATGAATGCTCTTACAAATCTTTTCCTAATGCATAATGTAATCAGGAATATAAAGTTATGGAACATTAAATACACTGTATGGGGAATTGGCTTTTACAGAATACACGTGTGCAGGAATGCACACAAAAATTAAATAATGTTGCCTGTGACCCTTGTGAAGTAATTTAGTGGCAGGAGAAAACATCAGGGATATGATAGAGAACTGTGTTCTCTATCATATATCCAAAATATAGAAATATAGAAACTGTGTTCTCTATCATATATCCAAAATTTACAATCTTAGTGCAGATTGCTCCTCAAACCACAATTCCCACAAGGGACTTGCTCCATTTGCTTTGAAGCAAGCAGATCTCTAGTCATCTTCTCACCGCAGATGTGTGACATTTCTGTCCATAGGTTCATGCCCAGTGCACTGCGCCAGTAAGCACTCAGAGTCTGAATCCACATGAAGGTCTTTTAATTAAATAATTAATTATGTAACATTACCCTTGGTAGAGGTCAGGGGAGAAACATGGTATTTCCTCAGGATTATTCCTGTTATCTCTCTACCCATTGTGGCAAAGAGGTGGATATGGACAAATATTTTCTAACTCGTAGATATATTTAAATAGATGAAAAACTTTTGAGGTTATACAGTAGAGTGGATGTGTTCTCACAACTGGGAATATCATTTGCAGTTTTTATTCTAAAACAAGTTGAACAATTTCTTGGCTCCAGCTTGAAGGAGTTCACAAAGTAATCACTGAGAAACACACTCCTGGGACCAATACTGACCTGTCCCTGTCCTGCTGTATGTCAGGGAAAATGTGCTATTCCCTTGAAGGTATAATTCAAGAAAGTTCACTGAACTTCATAAGACCAATAAATTTCCTTTTATTTATTTGTTTTTTAAATTTTATTTTATGTTCCTTTAAGGTCTCTCCACAGATTTTCAGTGCATGATGTACATCATAGATCGGAAATTTTGGAAAGAACCACATATCCCATGAAATCTGCTTCCCTGAAGTTACAATATCCATGGCATTGCCATTGTACAAAACTGGCCACCAGGCCAACAAGCATGTCAGCAGGAGCCTGGGAGTTGTACAAGGAGACCAGTAGGACACTTATCCCCAAGAAAGCTGGCAAGCATTAAGAAGGCTTAAGATTTATGCTTCTAAGAAATTCATTAAAAAATGCCTTGCTATGTACTTATGAAGCCTAACACCCTGGAAACCCAACCAGAAAAAATATTTAGGCAGGAACTTAATGCACATTCATGCAGTTCCCTTACCTAAAACTAGATGGGAATTTTAGCATTATCATCAGTAAATTGTATAATGCTGTATAGAGCTATAGGAATTTAAAGGTTCAATTTTAAATTTCATTTTTATACATGCAAACTATTTTTAATGCTGCTAAAGCTGTTGTGAATGACGATCACAATTTTGAATGGCAGGATCACACAGAAGGCAAGAACAAACATTAACGGTCAATTTACCAAAAGTATGAAAGGACTGATGTAGATTAACAATATAGTCTAAATTATTCCTTCTTTTGTGAGTCTTATTCCTTATTTTGAATACTGAGTACTAGTGTCTATGGTAGTATCAGACATATATACCATATGTGATAATCTTTTTCAAACATTCCTTTCTTCAAACATCTTGCAACAGCTGACTACCATCCAGCCCTCATTACATTATTAATATATTCTAATTCCCTTTAAAAGAAAATCTAGCTGTGTTATCAAAGTTTATTTGTACATTGATAGATAGCTTTTCTTTTCTTGTCCCCTTTCCACACTTTAACTGTTGATATATATATATATATATTATTTTTATTGTTATTATTATTTTTTTTTCCCCCAGAATACACAGCTCTCAGGATATAGAGCTGTCTTCTTTCATCTGTAAATTATCAAGTAGTTACACTGTAATGGTCCTGCCTGCTATTTCCTCCCATTCAAAAGCACATTTACACATAAGTTATTCTTCTGTGTCATAATGCCAAGAAAGTTTTATCTATTGGTTCCTCATTATTTTGAGGCAACTATTAATGTCTACTGCTAATAAAAAGAATTCATAGAAGCAGTTTGTCTAACAAGGAGTACCACTTCTAAGAAATCATTTTATTTGTCAGAAAATACTAATGACAACCGTATTTCTCATACAGAAACTGTAAATGAGGTCTGGGACACTTAAAAGTAAATTTCACCTTTCTTATTCTTCATATTCCTTGATATATCAGGAATATATCAGGAATATCAGCATAAAATCTTCCACATGACTTGGCAGAGTAAGCAAAGTATTTTAAGATTATACAGCTGAAACTTAGTTGTGGACAAACTTTCCATTGTTATTAAATAATTTGAACAATTCAAGTGATTATTAGCCCTTTAATTGGCTTTATAACAGCTCCACCTATCTTTTGTACAAAGCACAAAAGTACTTTGAATACAGCAAGGGCATCTTCTTGCACAAAGCACTTGGTATATTACAGACTCCACAAGAAAAACTAAAAGAGACTAACAACAGTAGTCATAGTAATAACAGATCTGTTGCCTTAGGAAAACACAGTTTAAAAAATCTGGTCAGACCAGTGTGCAAAGAGCTGTAAATAATGCACTGATGGCATTACATGGCCTATTGCTCAGAGACCACTGCTCCAGGAAACATCTTCTAATAATGCCATCTCACAGACTGACTTTGCAGCCTTGCTTTTCTCACTTGAATACTTTTATTTCACTCATATATATAACTTTTCCTAAAAGAAGTTGTAAAGTAGTCTCCCCTAAAATATAATTGGATTTCTTTAATCTGTTTTTCTTTTGAACCCAAAATACAGGGTTTATAAAAGTTAAAATTACTGTTTAACAACTGTGACAAAACAACAACATATCTAACACAAATACTCAATTTCTACAAATAATCAGAAAAAAAGATTTCCACAGCCTAAGAAATTGAAAATGAATAAGCCATGTCCATTCTTTATGACTTGGTACAGCCAAAACACTAAATGCACTTCACCTCTTCCTGGCATTGCCAAGGCACACAAGTGGATTTGGTCTGAGTAATTTAGCTCAGAGGTCTAGCAAGAGATCTCTCCTAAATATTTTGCTGTACTGTCCATAATTACTATACATGTAGCATATGGGTTTAGTACTGTATTGCAGATAATTTTGTCAGTAAGGAAAAGCAAATTAAAAAAATAAAACAAATTACACAAACATTCATAACAAAGTACTAGAAAATTATTAATAATTTTATTATTAATTTTATTATTATTAATAATAATAAACTATGCTTTTTTAGTTTGGAGTTCAGAGGAACAGTGTCTACAACATTATATGGGGAGAAACTTCAACCTAAAATTTTTGTAAGCAAAAATCGAATAACAAAATGAAAAACAAATAGTTTTCGAAATGAATAACTGCATTGCAATTTGATTTGGTACAAGTTCAAGGACTAACAAAACTCATTCTTTTGCTTCTGTCTGAAATCTGGCACACCACTGAGCTGGATATTATTTTAGACTCATTAAAGTCAAGATAACCACATCTATTAGACAGGACTCATTATATCACATTAAATTTACTAATAGACCTTAAGAGAAAATGCTTATATTTTCTTCACATGAATAATCATATTCACTGCAATGGGGTTACACAGAGAAATCTAAGCACTCAGAAGTAATGTGCTTAATAAATAGGTAGTTTATAGCACTAAAAATTTCATAATAACTAAGTAACATGTAATATTTCCAAAATTCTGCTAGATCCAACATCCTGGAAATACACTCAAACAATGGAAAAACCAACTTACTGGTCCCCAGGGTAGCAACAACAGATAATATAGAAAAAGAAGAGAAAAATATATTTGAATGATATGAACAAGCACTTACCTAGTGGCTGCCCTGCAATGATCCTGGCATTCTCTCCTGCCACCGCAGCCCTTGCATGCCTCTCGCTCATGTACTGTACAAATGCGTAACCTTTGTGCACTGAGCAGCCAACTATTTTTCCATACTTTGCAAAGATCGCTTCGATGTCACCTTTTTTGACAATGGCTGTGTTCAGATTACCAATGAAGACTCTAGAGTTGATGGATTTTGGGTCGTTCTTATTGGTGACATTGCTGGTCTGTGTTTTGCCGGTCATGGTTGGATTACTTGGCTTTAACCCTTAAATAAAGAACAAAGAGAATTATGTTTCATAGCATACAGTTACCCTTGGCTTTGATGATTTTTCCACCAATAATTCACTTTTTAATTTTTCCCATAAGGTGAATCTGGACTTGGAAGAGTTAAACTTTCTAAAAATGATTATCAATAAAACAAACATAACATATTTTAAAATTTTGTTAATAAGCCAAATTAAAACCTCTCATCTTTATAGATATAAAATATACCGATACATCTCTTAACACAATACTCTGTTATTGGAGCTCTGCTGTAATCATATGTGGATTTATGCTTGGAAATTCAGTATTGACTTTTTAAGTACCTAGCTATATAGAAACTGCAAAGCAAGAGAATGAATCATTATTTTATGTCAAAGAAATGAACATTCAAGGCCCTGTGGAGAGCAAATTCTAAAAATGAAAGACAACTTTGCTTTTGTTTGGTGTCAGATAGAGCACATTTATCACCAGTTAAATATCATTGACCACCATAAGGATTGCAGGACCAGTAACATATAGTTCTTTACTCAATCAATATGTTTCTATCAGAACATTTTTCCTTATCAATTCTGTGTAAAAAAAATAAATAGAAAAAAAAAAAGAAGGAAAAAGAAAAAAAAAAAAGAAAGAAATTAGAAAAGGCAGGGGAAACACAAATGGCTTACACTCCTAAAATTAAAAAGTATGAAAACAAACTTCCTTAATTGTATAAATGCAGTTTTACTTGCATTTATTTAGTTTTTCCTCTGAGATCACAAGACCCTTAAAAATACTTTAAATAGAAATGGACACATTATTCTTGGGAAAGATTTGCCAAAATAAGAAAAATAATTTTTGTGTTCATCTCGTTTCAACCTTTTAAAGTGCACTTGATTTTGTTACTATTTATGCAAATTCCACCTGCCACCAGGTCATTCTATTTACGTCACTTTATTTAGATGGAGTTGAAAAGAAATAAATTATCACATGTAGCTGCTGGGTTTTCTTTAGTTGTATTTGATAACGAACAAATACATATGTATATCTTTTTAAAATGAAAACTTATTTTGTACGAAGGAGGTCATTTAAACAGCAGTCAAATATAGGTCATCTCTTACAGTTAAGATTTATGTTACTATTTTTTAACCTGTTCTTCCTTTTGATCATATCACAGTAGCAGCTCAGGCAAGAAGAGAATCCAGTTAAATACTGCTCACATTTTTCTCAAGATGAAAAGGAATAATGTTCTATATTCTGGACACCTAAAGCTTGACATTAACAGCAGAAGTTTCATATTTGAAATCAATAGCTACCATATATTAAGCTATACTGAATAAAAAAAGAAACCATTGTTACTGAACTCTACACTGTTCCTAGTGAACAGTAGCCATCAGTACTTTGGCTATCTCCATCACACATAATCCAAACCCCACCCTTAGGATAAAACACACAATGGAGACATGGGCAATCCTCCAGAGTCTTAGAAAATGTTCTGCTTATTTTCAAGCACACATACATAGAGTGGAGGCTATCAGTCAACTTGTTTTTACTTCCTTAAACACTTAAAATAACAGTTTACTCTATATTACAACATTTAAAGAAAACACTGTAGAAGCAAATAAATTTTCTTGTAAGTTTATCAAATTGAAATACATTCTATAAACACAAGATACTGTATGTATTTAGAGATTGCAACATGGAAAACCAGGAAAACTAACCTGATCAAAATCCTTTGAACTTTATTATATGACACAGTTAATATCTGTATTTCTAGGTTCCTGTGCGGATCATGCATGTTGAAGTCATGCCTGTATATAGCTAACCTGAATATTTGGAACACTTAGTACCATACAGTACTAAGTACACTCGTAACTGTACATTCATAACTGTACTTAATACAGTTTGAAGACAATCCACTTAAGAAACAAAAATGTGTTGCACATTGAGCTCCATGTTGGCAGAAAGTAGCTATTATCTGAGAACTTGCAAGTTTAAACCCATCTAAGATATAACTATATTTACACAGGAGTCAAGGTGCACTTCACATAGTGTTTGCTTGAAGAGCACTAATCTGAAGAGGTTACATGGCAGAGTAGCTAGGCATAAAAATAAAAATTTCAGCACTCAAATAGCTGGTGAACAGAAAAAATGCTGGTATTCTGTGATACTCTCAAAAGACACATCATTTTGGTGTACCTATGTTGGGAAAAATTCACATGAGTAGTGATAGTTCATGTTTGTGAAAATCTGGTCCTAGCATCTTGTTAATGTTCTCTGTGCTTGCTTATCATTTCATTGGGTCAGTGTTGGTCTCTGGTCTAGATAACAGTAGACTTGTCTTGTAGACCTGTCTCTTCCACTAATTTTCTGTATGATTCTCACTAAGTCACTTTTTTATTTCACTTTTTAGACCTTAGACTTGCCTTTTTTTTTGGCTAAGCTCTGTCACACAATGTCATGATCTCAGCTGGGATTCCTGGGTATAACAGACACAATAATAAAAATGACAAGGGAAAAAAATCTAAAGAAAATCTTCTGCCAGACAAAATTTGCATGAAAATTATAAACAAAACCCCTCTTTAATTATTACTATCACAACTGTTTTCCAAACACCAAAGTACTACACTCTGTATTTCCTCTATTGTTTAGCCATTTAAAATGGGATTTAGTGAACTATTCCTTTTTATGACCTGAAAATACTCATTTTATTTTTGCCCAGATTTACTGTGTACTAATTTAAATAGAGTTTGAATAGGACATTGAAAGTTTCCCTCTTGTAGTTTTCCTTTGCAATGCAGATGTACAACATTTTTGTAACACAAAAAAAAAATAGTTGTCTGGTGGGTTCTCATATTCAAATGAACAGCCAGGAAAATATGCTGCAGATATTCAAAAGATGAGAATAATATTAACATATGAATAATTGAGATCCGATTGCCTTGGTGGTCTACATACAATACTATTGTGAATATTTCATAAAAATCAAAGATACACAGGAACTTCATTACAATGAGAAAGAACAATAAGTTGTACACTTCAGTTACTATATACATCTGTGAATACTGAATTATGCTTATCACTTCTGTGCTATCAGTAAAAGCACAAATATTGTAACTCATACAACCACAGAAATAAATGAAATTGTGAGAGAAACATATCTGAAAACATTTCATTTCATTGTAGCCTTTAATAAGGTATCTTGTTAATTTCTTATCATTGCAGTGATATTACCTTTCTGGTAATAAATGCAAAATATATAATTTTATAATTATATATTTTATAAATGTTATAATATATATATAATATTATATATATAATATAATATAATATATATATATATATTATATATATTATATAATATATATAAATTTTATAAAATATATAATTGCTATAATGCAAAACATATCTTTTAAGGAATACCTTACAGAGAGAAGATACTTGTTAATACACTTCATTGTACTGTTTCATGATACAGCTAATTTAATTATTCTACCTAGAACTAACTAATGTAAGTCTTCGTACAATTGAACATCAAAGTTATAAACTGCACCATTTTCATTACAATTTAAATCTCAGATTCAAAGAGTAAAGTCCCCAAACCTGTTTTAAACTTTAAATTTTCTAGATGTTAAACAGGAATGTAAATGTAAATGACTAAAATGAGTTTCATATTACCCAACACATACATGGGATATGTCTGTCAGTCAATATGAGCTGCTAAAGAAGAGGGCAGGTTTAAAATCCTTGCTTTCTTCACATTTCCTATGAAGTTTGGTTAAACATCAGAATGACAAAGCATTCCTTTGTGGCTCTGAAACTCAGCTTCAGTCCATAAAATGAACATCTGAACTCACATCTCCCATTTAATAGGAGATGTTGCCCTATGGGCACACCAGAATAATGAAGACAATGGTACCTTTTACAGTTGTGTTGTGTTCTGATGCATGGAACAGTATAAGAACTGAGGCAAACAGGAGTTGTTCAATTCTACATCCCAATAATTCCCAGGAATTTCCCTGGGGAGTAGGGGTGAGAAGGGACCATTATAGCCAGATTATTATTGGTCCTTTGGCTCACAGTGCTGCTTATGCAGTTTACCAATGACAGGACAATGCAAAGCCTATTTTTGAAGAAACAGCATTTTGGTTAATATGCAAAATAATTTGGGAGAGACAGACACCTGAGGACCTGATCTGTTAAAAAGGATTATGAGAACTATTCACTTCAGCATCTTCCATGTTATATAAATGGTCGTTCATCATCTTAAAAGACTGGAACTCATCAGCTCAGTTGTTATTTTCCAAGGAATACAAAAAAATTATCCTTATACATTTTTGCATGCTAAATAGACTAGTAAGGCCAAATTCTAAAAATTCTGTTGGAGTTAGAAGCTCACTTAAATCTTATTACAAGAGGGTAGGAAAAATTTAAATTGAAGATTTTTTTTTTTTAGTAAGGTCCATACTTAGTTTCACTTTCTAAAAATTTGCCTTCAGCAAGGTTAGAAATATTTTCAGGAACTTCTTATTAATGTGAATTTATCCTGAAGTTATTTTATTTCATTTCTAAACAAAACATTTGCTTCTTTTAAACAAATAGTTAAGTCTATATAATTTGAATGAACTAAAATTTTTGCTTACAGTGACTCTAGGAATAATTAGGATTTACTAAGGAAAAACTGAAGCAAAAAAAAAATAAGGAAAATCTTTCACAAAAACTGAAATGTTTTCTGAAAATAGATTAGAACTATATTACTTTGCACACAAAGGTGTGCCAAGGGAGTTGGCAGAGGTGATTGCTGAACCACTCTCTATTATCTTTGAAAGGTCCTGGAGAACAGGAGAGGTGCTTGAAGATTGGAGGATAGCCAATGTCACTCCGGTCTTCAAGGAGGATCCAGGAAACTACAGGCCAGTCAGTCTCACCTCTGTCCCTGGAAAGGTACTGGAGCAGCTTGTTCTGGATGCCATCTCCAAGCAATTGGAAGAGAAGAAGGTTATGAGGAGTAGTCAGCATGGATTC